GGTTCAAGTGCTTCTCCTGCCTCAGCCTCCCGAGTGGCGAGGATTACAGGCGCACACCCCCACGCCTGGCTAGTTTTTGTATTTTTAGTAGACATGAGGTTTCACCATGTTGGCCAGGCTGGTCTTGAACTCCTGACCTCAGGTGATCCACCCGCCTCAGCCTCCCAAAATGCTGGGATTACAGGTGTGAGCCACGGCACCCAGCCTCAGATAACTTTTAAAAGTATTTTGTAGAGACAGGGTTTCACAATGCTGCTCAGGCTGGTCATGAACTCCTGGCCTTAAGTGACCCTCCGGCCTTGACCTCCTAAAGTGCTGGAATTACAGGCATAAGCCACCATGCCCAGCCTAGGGCTTGCAATTTTAAAGCTGACTCCAGAACAAAGCAACCACTTTAACACCATCCCGGTGTCACTGATGCCCCTACATGGCACAACCTGAGACCGGGGCAGCCCCACATCTTCTCCAGGTGGGGAGATCTTTGGAGGATTTAGAAACTTGCACTAGTAACACACACACTTGTATCCCCTGCCAAAGACTCGAGCGGATGTGTGCAGAGCAGCACTGGTAGTGAAGCAAGAGCTGCCTTGGAAAACAGACCTCTCTGACACCGAACTAAAAAAGGAAGGGGTTTTATTATTACGGGGAGCAAGGCTTTATGTTTTGCCCAAACAGCCAAGCTCCCCTAACAAAGAGAAGCTCTGCCTTTTTATAGGCTCACACTCTAGATATTGCATGTGAAAGGATCTTAGGTTTACAGCCTTAGAAATGACAAGTGAAAGGGTCGTGTGTTGACAGTTTTAGGAATTACATATGAAAGGATTTCTGGTCTCCGATGGAGGAGTGGGGTGGGAGTTTGATCTTGTTTAAGTAAAAACAGTGTGGCTGGGGTGTGGTGGCTCATGCCTGTAATCCTAGCACTTTGGGAGACTGAGGTGGGTGGATCACCTGAGGTCAGGAGTTCAAGACCAGCCAGCCATCATGGTGAAACCCCATCCTTAAAAAAAAAAAAGACACAGTGTCTTCGGGAGAGATTACCCCATACCATGCCTGCTTTTTACAGAAAGGTGATCCAGTCGGCCAGGCTTTTCTTCTATTGAAATGCAGTGTGGAGGTCAAGGGGGAGGTGATCCTAAATGCCTGGGTCTCCTTCCTCAGTAGAGCCGGTTCTCTCCCCTCCCCCCACTCAGGGAACCACTGTCACCATGGGTCCTGCCCCTTCTGTGAGGGGGCAGCTCAATGTTGTTGTGGAAAACCGGGGCCTAATCCCCCCTCAAAAAGTTGTGCTTTCAGGCAAGGGGAGGCCCCAATGCTGTCCCCATCCAAGTCAGCAGCTCAAAGCTCAGCTCCTGCAACCTGACACTCCTGTGGCAGGTGTGACGGCCCCACTGCCCCGGGGTCTCACAGACCTGTGCTGGCTCAGCAGAAGCAATCTCCCCACAGCCCAGAGGGTGAGGAAAAGACCACTCTCTGGCCTGCCCAAGAACCAGATTTTAGTGAGCAGCTCACAAGCCCAGGACCTGGCCTCTGCCTTCTTCCAGTGCTGGGGCTGCCAACGCCCATGGGACCACTAGCAAGACAACAGCACAGACCCCACGGAGGGGCTTCCCAGGGCACAGGCAGGACCCTAGGGAAGCCTGAGAGAAGTTATCTCTGGACGCCCTGCCTCCTTCAGGTACCCACAGCACCATTCCTGAGGCCTGGCGCTTGCCTCAGGAAGGCACCCAAGGGACAGCGGAGCCAACACGTCCCTCCCATGGTCACAGAACAGCACCTGGCATTCCCCTCAGACGACTGGACACCAAATCCCACACCCAACTCTGCTGGCTTCTCAGTGCAGCAACTGCTCTTGGATCTAGACAAGAAAGCTTCGTGCTGTGCCTCCAGAAACCTGACCTGGAACGTTCCAAGCCCCGTCTCCATCCCGGCCAAAAGGTGGGAGTGGCTTCTGTATGACTGGTCTGCCCCACCCAGCTGCTACCTAGGATGCCCGTCCTTCCCCCAAGCAGGGACCTGTGGCTGGGCCCTCCCTCCCCTGGCATTCCTGCCCCAATGCCTCCTCCCCCTATTGCAATACCACCAGCACTGGCTGCTCTTTCTGGATGCCACTTAGATGTGGGCACTCCCCAAAGCCTCCACATTGCTGTTCCTCCCCCTGCCAGTTCCTCTACCTGGGATGTCCCTTCTCGCCCTCCTGTCCCCTTGGCCTGGGCTCTCCAAGGCCACAGCTTGACCTTAAGGCATTTTTATGTGCACAAGCACAGCAATGGCCTCCCAGAGGCCTGCACCTGCCCAGTTCAGCTCCTTCTTCCTCCACCATCCTCCCTCCACACTCCTGCCACAACTGATCCTATGCTGACCCTGAAGCTCCTCATGGGATTTGGGCCAACAGCACCTGACTGTCATTTCGTGGACCTCCGCCCTCACCTGCCACCCGCTGAGGCCTCACCTAAGCTGCAAGTGTGGCTCAGTGCTTCTCATCTCACACTGCCCCCCCCCTCCTGCTGAGGCCAGGGGTGCAACCCCCGATCTCCGCAGTCTCACCTGAGAAATCAACACAACCACGCAGAGCCAACAAATGAAACTTTGCACACTCTTCCCAGGGTCACCTTGAAACAAGTCATCTCTACCACCCCTAGACTGATGCGGCTGAAACAGTGTTCTGCTTGTTGCCCCCGGAAAGTCCTCACACTTTTTAAAGTTACCATGGGTGAGATCAAAGCTGGGCGTCTGAGCGGCTTCCCATTTTCCCCCAACACACTGTGCTCAGAGTG